AGTGGGCCGGCTTCTGGAAGGTCGGCCTGGGAGGCTGTGCTGGGGTCTGGGGATGTCCCGCAGCTAGACCCGGCGCTGCCCATGTGTCTTCTAGTACTTGAGCTCTGCCGGCCTTGAACGCTGTGCTTCCGTCAACGACCAGGGGTTCCCCAGGCTATCTAGAACCTGGAAATTTAGCAGCTCAACACCTGCTCCCTACCCCGTTTCAAATATCTGGGCTTTGGGGTGCCAATGTACACCAAATATCATGGGCCAGACCTTTGAGAGAGGCCTGAGGCAGGGCAGTGAAAATCTCATTTTGTCCAACCTCCATAGCGGGTACGGACAGTGTTAGGGGCCCAGGAACACCAGTCGGGTTGTTCCGGTGCCGATGGAATTGCTTAGGGACCTGGCCTACATGGGCAGTTCCCACGAACTTTGTCCTTTCCCACGAGCTTTGTCCTTTCCAGGTGAGCGCAGCCCCTTCCGCTCCAGTAGGTTCCAGGTTAATCTTTTATCCCCAAGCTGTTTCCTGGTCCTTCATGGGTCTCAGGTCTCCTGGAAATCCAGGAACAGCAATTGGCCAACTGCTGTTTAGGGCCTTTGTAAACATTGAAGGATGATTCGGAGCTCAGGCTTTGTCTCCTGTCCAGGAATCAGTCAGATGAAGCCTGCTGCACAGGTCTCTGTCTAGATCTTGATCCAAGTGATGATATGCATTTGGCTCTCCGTGGATGTATCTGGTGGCCTGGGCTAGGTAAATCTGTGTAAGGTAAATCTGCTTTCTTGAGCCAGTCCTCAAAAATGACTTGATGCCCTAGTTGTTGGTAGAGGTAAGTGAGTGGGAGTTTCAGCCCCGCCTTCCAGCCTCCAGACTCCAGACCTCCCAGAAGTGTCTGCCCCTTACTGGCTTCGATTCCCTTTCTTGTCTTCTAGGTCCACTCTGGCCTACATTCTCTGTACTCAGGACTGCAGGTCTGCCATTTGCTGGTCCCCAGTTCTTCCAGTTTTCTGGGGTCACCCTATTCTGTAATATCCAAATAAAATGGCTCAAATTCCTATCCTGCCTAATAGTAGGATCTGGCCTTTCCACACACATTTTCATGGGTTACTTTTGCCTAGAAAAGAGTTTGTCTCATACCTACTTCCAAAAGCACTGTTTCTCTGCTGTTTTGTGACTCCTTTCCTGCCCACTCCAGTGTACTCTACGGCCATGTGCAGAGAGAGGGAATGAATAATTGAGAGAACAGATTCAAGCTACTGCGCATGCTAAATAAGTGAATATGGCTAAACAGTGAGAACAGTGCGTGGCGCATAGTCCCTCTATGTATTAGCTGCTATGATTTTATTATTTACAGGCGCATGTTAGCATTGCTCCTCTACCGTTCCTCTTCCCATGCTGTTTCTCCATGTCCCTCTCTAGGCCTAGCCTCTCACTAGAGCTCTTACCACTCTAGACCCTTCCCCCTCCCCCTTTTGTTTCCCTTTTAAGCACATGTGCTATGTTGGGAGAATGTAATTAGAAGCACAATGTTCTCCCAACCCAGAAAAAACCTCTCCACGAAAGTAGTGAAGAAAGAAAACAGTTTTATTATTGAATAAACATTAAACCAGAATGTGATGCACACCACAGGCAGTTGCTAAGAGACTGCAGAGGCAGAAGGAAGT